TAATCAGTGTGTTGGGCTTAACTTTCTATTATTAGTGAGTTTTTACTAATTGGGCTTCATTGGGCCAATAATTTAGATTTTAATTAATTTGAATCTATTTGATCTAATTTTTGCTCATCATTAATTTTAGGATAATTAAAGCAATTTTGGGCCTAGAAGATTGGGTCAGATGTCATATTACAGTTTAAAGCAATTTTTTGCTTGGAAAATTGGGTCAAATGCCATATTTTATTCTATATGGGTACTAACATTGGTTTACTATTTTATTTATTATTTTTTCTACAGATCTTCAAAAATCATGATTCTAGAAGCATTATAAACTAGACACATTCAGATTTCCATAGGATCCAAAATCATTTAATTCAGAGCTAAATTTGATTTTACATAAATTATCCAAAATGGGTCAAGTGCACCAGGCCGGTCCAATGGACATGCTTAAGCAATTTAAGTCTCCTAAATTCATTAGACCTCCGAAAATAGTAGAAATGGTGGCGTTTGAAAGCTAATCCAAAATTTTTTCAAAGGAGACCATAATCGCTTAATTTGGATAAGTATTGAAAATACTACACGTGTTTGAAGTTGGTGGACTTGCACTGAAGTCAACTTATGATGTGTTTTGTGGATTAGTTAGGCGCAAACCTAGATTAAGATTAGAGTTAGGGTTATTTATATAAGAAAGGAACATCACACATCAGAAAACACACAACACACATTTAAAAGTAACATACAAACACAAAGGGTAAACTATTAATTCAATTAAAGTATGCAAAATTCAATTGTGAAATAAAATAATATAATTCAATTTCAAATTTTTATATATCACATCACACACTTATACAAACTCACATTCACATCATGCAGACATTAGAAGACTTCTATAAGACTAGATATTGAAATAGATATCAGATATCTCCAATTGTCACACCACAACTCCCCTAAATACATAACACAAAGGTGTTCAACTATCATGTGTGATCAGAGTAAATTTTTAAATGACATATCAAGACATAATTATTTTTCATACTGCAGGCTAAATCAATAGAAACCTTTCAACTCTTACCACCTGATCCTTTCATCTGTGTGGTTCTAGTAATCAGAAGAGTCAAAATATCTCATCGATTTTCAAATAAATATTTATATATACAACACTATACACATGAGGATACCCTTTAGTAATTCTCATATCATAACATAATATTTTTCAAGACATATAATAACATTGAACACACATCATTTCATGTTCGTAACATTATTTTAATAGCTTACAACATATACATATCATTTCTCACATTATAACAAAATATAATTTTTTTTTCTAATTTGACCTCTTTCCACTCTTTTGACCATAACGTGTTTTTATAGACATTCTTTTAAACTAATTTTTATTTTATTGGATTCCTTCTTTTTTGGACTTTGATTTTCATATATGGAAAACTTAATTTTGAGTTAAGGGCTATTTTTTATGATTTTTCGAAAACAACTGCACAAACTTGAAAATGTTGAGGAAAATTTTGACATAATGGAACCCCTAACACTACCCAAAACTTGTTGGGCAAATCTAAAAGTGTTGAGTGGAATTTAAACACTTTCAAAACTTTCTCAAATCCGCTAAGCGTATTTAGATCCGTTGGGCGGGTTCGTGACAATAGCATAATGCATAATCTACTACTCAATATCTTGTTTCTAATGTTCCAAATCAAACTAAATATAAACACTATCATCCAAATTGTAAATCAATTCACTAAATTCAATATAAAAATAATACATTCATACAAAAGACTATTATTTTCAATTTCATAGAAATCAATTATACTTTTATATTCAATACAATCATCACAAATCAACACATATAGAATTACACAATCCAAAAACTTAATCAATGTGACAAAGTTGCCTTTACAGTCCATGTCTTCTAGTCTAAAATATTATGAAAATTGAAGAATAACGAATTTTCCTTACTTCAAATATAGTGCCTCCAAGTTAAAAAATCCCAAAAACTCTTAATTTTCGGGAAGATATATCTTGCTCACAGAAACTCAAATCAACAAACTAAGCATAACGCAACGCTCTTAAACTAATTACAATTCATTGTTTCACAACAAAGTCTACATGCAAGCCCATTGAGACCTACAGGCATAGCTAAAATCAAAATATGCAAACGTGGTTTAAAATTGGGAGAAGAGAAACTTACTCTATTTTAAATTCTGATCGGGTAAGAAATGATTTTCTCTCCTTTAAGAACATTAAGGTGTGCTTGGATTTAGAAAAAAAAAATGAGAGAGGGAGTGAAAAATTTAGAAAAAAGGGAGTTGTAAAGAGATGTTGGTTTTGTGAGAAAGAAGTTTCAATAGTTAAACTTTTCTATTTATAATTCGTTTTAACTTAATCGGTAAAATTTTAAATTTACCCTCATTATACCATTTTTACTTTTAACTTATTTAAGATGAGTCTAACACAAAATATATATAAATGAGGAAATAATTTTTTTTTTATCAAAATTTATAGAAAAAATTTGGATTTAAAACAAGTGAGAGTTATTGATGGAGATAATATATTATTAATTTTGATATTGTATATAATTTATTTGATAGATTACACTAATATATACTTCAGTTATACATAAGTTATGTTATTAATAAAAATTATAATAAATAAACAAATAACTTTAAATATAAAAATTATATTTTAACTTTATAATAGAAAATTTATGTTGTGATATAGATATATTTTAAAATACATTATACAATTTATAAATAAAGATGAAACAATATTAAAAATATATGTTAAAAACAAATCCAAAAAATAATTTTTAATTCTAAAATGATTTTGTTCAAATTTAATTTTTAAAAGTTCTCCGTCTCAAAATAATTGATCTAATTTATTTGGAGAGAAGATTTTTTTTTTTTATATATATACTATTACCACTTTTATTCAAACTGATATTTAAAATAAATATTACAGAAATTAATATTTTAAATTGTATAATAATAAGTATTACGATTTGGATATTCTCACAAAATATAGTTTTTCTTTATTATAATTTTACAATTGAATATTTATAGAAATTACCTTTTAAAGATTCTTAATAATATATATATATATATATATATATATATATATATATGAAGAATCTATATATTATTATCCATATTATTCTTCAAACTTATGTGAAATTTTTGTAATGTGGATAATAAAAAATATTTTATTATTTCTCACATGGGTTATAAATATGTATTTTTTTTTAAATTTGATCACGTTGACTTGATCTTATATTTATTATTTGTTTTTTTAAATATTATATATATCATGAGAATAATATTTGAATTTAAGATATCTTTAATATAAATAAAAGAGAGCTTTCAATTGTTATTCATTTTTTATTTTTTTTGCTATTTCTTTTTGAGTTACATGTATATATTTTTGTGACATTTTGAGGTACATATGTTAAAGACTTTATACAAACAAATTTCCCTAATTTTTTAAATTAAAATAAAACTATTAAACGAATAAATTTGTTGACATATCTGTTATTTTAGTTTGATAATAAATAGTAAATTTATGTTTTAAGTATATACGTTGAGTATTCGAAAATAAAACTTTTTGTTGCTATTAATCAGTGATTCGACCTAACTTAAAATAATATTCTCTAAATTCTAATAAAAAAATAAATATCATCTCTTTCAAAAAATGATAACAGATACAGTAATACGATTGTTATGCTAACATGTAAAAAGAGCATCAAATGATCCGCTCTCTCTATATACCAGATGAAATATTTCACCTAACGAAACGATGTATAACTAGAACACATTAACATGTTCATATTTCATTAAAAAAAGAAAAAAAAGATTTTGAGGTGTACTTTTTAGTATATTTTAATAACATAGAAATGAATAGGATAATCAATTGTTAAAGATAAATAAATAAATAAATAATTAAATAATAAATAGATAAAATAAAAGTAATTTTTCATGACAATAATTGTTTAATAAAGATAATTTTTTGTAAAGAATTTATATTCATTTATATGTTGGGTGAGATAAGATTCTTTCCTGATATAAACGTGTGTTTTTTTTTAATATTTTTTCTTCTATAAAAAAAAACAACATAAACGTGAAGTAAATGAAATGAAATATTTTTTCATTTCAGCTTATTTAATTCATTTTAAAAAATCATAATTATTTATACAATAAAAAAAAGATATACATATTTTTTTTATGTTTTCTATTTTACGAAAGATAGAATCGTAATTGTCAGTTTGAAGTTTTGCAACAACGTTGCTTACCAGAGTGGATCACGTAAAAGTTGCCGCACACAGATTTCCTTATTCCTCATTCACAGCTATCCATAACATAATGGATATGATATGACCTGTAGGCTGTACACATGTATCACCACAACCAAATAAAACCATGGCTGCTGCCAACCCGTGAGACCTTTAATTACCAACATTTCATATACATCCCATCATGCCAATTTTTATTTATTTTATTCATAATATATTATTTAAAAAAAAAACTATTCTTTCTAATACTTTATGCTTGCGCGCTTTCGAAAGAAATAGTTATGTGATATTCGAATATATCGTACGCTACCTATAGAATTTTAATTTTAATCTTATATAGAAAACAGAATCCACCAATGGATGCTCTATGATCTGATCACTATAATAATTAAATAAAAAAAATTGAGTATTGACAATCAAAAGGGGAGTATTTATTTACGGGTTACGAAATGTTTTTATATCTAACATGTAAGAAAAGAAAAGCTAAATAAAATAAGTAATAATTGTGGCTTTTTCTGCGTCTTACAGTATCCGCAAAGGACGAGAAACTGCGACGTCGTTTTCAGACAGGGTTGTATAAAGAAGCGACGATTCAATAATTGACAAGTGGTGGTTTGGATGGATTTATAAATGCTGTGTGTGATGTTGTTCCTGTTGTTGTCGTAAGAAGTTAGCAAAGAGAGCGGTGTTTGTTTGTGCTGTGGTGGTTTGTGAAATGGCAGAGTCATCGTCAGAGAAGAAAGTGGTGGTGATAGGAATAGACGACAGCGAGCAGAGCACGTACGCGCTGAGATGGACCCTCGATCACTTCTTCCCGAACCCGGTCTTCAAGCTCGTTCTGGTCCACTCCAGGCCCACTGCCACATCCGCTGTGGGCCTCGCCGGGCCTGGTACGTCCGTTCTGTTACTGTCTTTGTTCTTGCGCTTCCTTACTTAATTCAATTGAGAACCCCTTAGTGTATGTAGGTGCCGCTGAGATATTACCTATTGTAGATTCTGATCTGCGAAAGATTGCCGCCAGAGTCGTCGATTCCGCTAAACAACTTTGCATCGACAAATCCGTAATTTCTTTTCCCCCCCTTTTCGTTCTCTTACTCTGTTTACTTTCATCTTAGATTATACCTGTTCATCTTAGAAATTACAGTTTACTTGAATTGAGGTCAATTTTTGTATTTATTTATTCTTGAGTTCATGCTTCGTTATGACTTGAAGCAAGAACTGAGTAATTGTATTGATGAAACCTACTGTTAACTCATGATAAAACATTCAATCATAGTTAACATTATATCAAGATCAATTTTACAAAAAATAATTTCATCCATGAACCGCTGTTACCAGATTTTTCTAGACACACATATTCTTAATCAATTATGTTATGATCCGATTATCAACGGGGAAATAAGACAGGAGTCTAATTAAGGGTATGTCAGGAAAGAAAAATAAAATGAAAAAGAGACGAAATAGAAAATGATAGTAAGAAAGAGAGGATCTCCTAACAAAAGAAAATATTCATTTAAAAAATAATAAATTAAATTTAATTAAATATTTTTAATTTATAAAATTATTAATTAATTTTTTATAAATAAAATAGTTTTTTAAATTAATATCTTACTTTTTCAATAATATAATCATACATTATTTTTTAAATTAATAAAATAATATATATTAAAAAATAAATATATTAAATTATTTATTTATTATTATAATTATTTTCGTATTTATAATATTTTATCAAAATAGTAATTCCAAAATTCTATATTTATATATTAAAATTTTAAATATTTAAATAAATGATTATTTGCTTAAATAAGGGATGATATTTTTTTACACTTTTTACTATTTCCCACTCATGAGCTGTAAATAAAATATATGTTCTTTATTATTATTATTATTACTTCCTTTGTTATCAAATAATTTTTTTTTCTAATTTTCTTACACTACATACTTTCTCCACTGTGAAACGGAACATACCTGATTTGTTTGTGTTCTTTCTCATATATATTTGCGATGTTATTTTACTTCATTTCTATTGTGTCAGTTTTTCATAGGCTATGCTTCAGCTGAATAATTTCTGGTAACGATGTTTTCTTAGGTAAAGGATGTAACGGCGGAAGTAGTGGAAGGTGATCCTCGAAATGTTCTTTGTGATGTTGTGGAAAAGTACCATGCTACAATATTGGTCGTGGGTAGTCATGGTTATGGGGCTATAAAAAGGTACAACTTTGTTTTCCTCTCAGTTATCCCTTACTTAGCAGTCATAGGGAATTGTAGCGTAATAAACCCTTCTAGTTGCCAAGAACATAAACAAAATCTAATGTTCAGATCAAGGTGGTCTTAATCAATATTCACATGACACTTGAGTTTTGTTAATTATTTTTAAAAAACATGATTATTTGTCATATAAAAATTGATTAAAATCATGGTGATTTGAAACTATCTAATCATTTTGTTTAGCCCAAAACGTCTCCTTCTGTTCCTGCAGAAGCTAGACCATTACTGTTTGTTTGTTATCTGCATGCTATTGTATTGACAGATATAATTTTGAAGTGGTTACAAAATATCTGAATGATCATTTTCATTTTAACATATGGTAACACCTTCCCTTTCTGTTTCATTGAATGTTTTTTATTAATTCTTGCCAGAAGTGAATTTCACTTCAAAGTTTCATAATTCAAAATTTCTGATAGAAAAAGACAGCTAAAAATGAATAAAACGAGTCAAGTTTTGGCAATTTCAAATGATCAGATTTCTTTTCAAACACAATTTAGTTGTCAAGAACATAAAATCTAATGTAATTCTTAAAATTCTGACCCGCATGATAAATTATTATAGTTTAGATCACGGCGGTCTTACTTAATCAATCTTCACATGACAGTTTTGTTAATTTTTTTATGTAAATGATTATTTGTCATAAAAATTGGTTAAATTCATGTACATTGTGATAAGTATATTTTATTTATATTTTTATATATGTATTTTATAAAAAATAATTTATTTAATTATTAATTATTAACATAAATTTAGGAAAATAAAATTTAATCAATTTTTGATTAAATTGAATATTTGTTTGTTGATATAAGGAAATAAATTAAGAAGATTAAAGTTTTGATTTTAGGTATTTTACTTTTCACGATACAAAAAATCGATAAGTGAATGGTGGATAAAAAGTTAATTCTTGCAATTATCAATTCCTTTATTTAAGAAGGTTACCACTCAGCTAAAGTATTGGATATTATGCATGCTCAGCAAAATAAGGATATGTTCAGCAAGAGATTGCACACTAGTCTTATATAGAATTGAAAATCATAATCTAACTTTTGTAATTTGGTGTGGTGGGTCATTTCAATTGGTGTTATAAAATAGATTTTAGAATATTAAAAGACATAATTTATGCTGTGAGTTTTACAATTTTTCATATTTAGATTTTATAATTCTCTCTAATTTATCTATAATTCTCAGTTGAGATTTTTAAGTTCTTCTACTTGTAAGGTACTTGCTAGTTTAGTTTAAATTCTATATTCTATATTCTACGTTCAAGTTCTTAATTTCTAACCGTTTTAAGTCGTTTTTTTTACTGTTTTATTTTTAATTCATGCAATTTTTTATTTTTTTCATTGTTTTCTATTGCATTCTAATAGTTTCGTATTCTAGGATAAATTTTCTAGTCTAAATTTTGATTCATTAATTGAGATTTATTATTAACTGTTGATAATTTATTATAATAAATATAATTGAGATTGATTAATTGAATATTTATCAATAATATTATAAATTAATTTTATATTTATGTAGCTATTTTTTATAGAGATAATTTGTACCGAATGCAATAAATAGATTAAATTTAAGTTAATTAAATTATAAATTATTAGAATTTTAATATAAATAATAATCAATCAAACAAAAATATTATTAGAGAACTAACGACTGTTTTAACGCAGATTCACATCTTTAGTGTTTTTATTTCCTATTTTCAATTAGATATTATTTTTAATTAGATATTAGATTCGTAAATCTTTCAAATTCCCTTATTTTAACTCTTTATTATTAAAAATTAGATTTGTTATAATTCATTGATATTTATCTAGAAAACAATTTAGATTTTACTATTTTTTTTTCAATGTACATAAAGTCGAATCAACATTTAACATGAAATGGTTTGAAATTAATTCATAATTTGTTGAACCACTATTTTTTGTTTGTTATCTGCATTATACTGTATCGACAAACATAAAATTTTAACCGGTTACACACTCTATATCATTTTAATTTTAACCTATGTTAACACCTTTACCTTTCTGTTACATTGAATGTTTTTATATTAATTGTTGCCAGAAACTTCACTTCAAAATTTCAAAATTCAGTTACACTTAGACCATTTTTATCTTGCAGGGCGGTTTTAGGTAGTGTAAGTGACTATTGTGCTCATCATGCTCACTGCACTGTGATGATCGTGAAGAAGCCAAAAACCAAACACTGATATGCATTGGCTGCGTCTATACAGTACAGCAATAAACATAATCCTTTCAGGCAAAGGAAAAAAAGTATTCACAGGAATTCGTAGCTACGCTTGCTCTATGGCTATGGCATACTTGTCTTTATGGTTTTATATGTCAAAGTACAGTTTACTTTTAAAGATGGAAGTCACGGAACCATAAAAAACATGTACGTATTTGAAGAGGGTCCCCTTCCCACAGGGCCTCTATGTTTGAACACGTAAAGTTCTTGAAGTAATATAATTACTGTACTTTTCCTGACTACGCAAATGAGATAAAATTGTTCCAATTCATTGGGATGGTTTCTTTAATATGTTAAAAAGGAAGGTTTGTTTTATTTTTTAATTCTATCATTTTTTTTGTAATCATAGATTTATTATATTGGTCCAACTGAAAAATATGACTTCAATATAAAAAAATAAAAATAAAAATAAAAATAAAATTTTTTAATTATATTTTAAAACCTGACATGACCATTGTGGATAATGAAAATCCCGTGATGACACCTAATATATAACAAATCAAACAAACCGTATTTGAAAATACATCGAAATAATTCTTTGGATTCAATGTTTAAATTAACCACAAGATGATCCAAAATTATTCCCACTGAATTGTTGTTTTGCACCACACGATTTAATGCATTACAAAATTATTTTGAAATGTTACCAAAATTCTAAAATTTAACCGTGTGTTATTGTTTCTGGCGAAAATTTGATCGATTTCGATTTCTCAGAGACTTAGGTGCTGACCAAATTTCGACCACGTAGATTCTTTTTACTTAGGCTAGCAAATAATTTTCATTCGAAACATGTATGAGGATCAAAAATTCTATAGTGTCGAGAAATGCAAAATATCATACAGATTGACAATCGAAAGTACTATTTCTGGTATTTTTCATTAACAAACACGAAGTAAAGAAATCAGTAAAAAGTGTCGAATCGAAAGATAGTGCGGAATATTAAATTGCAGAAAAATGTAAAGTGCGAAAACCTCAAATTTGCATTAAGTGTAAATGACAAGGAATCGAAATTGCAGAAATGTAAATAGCAGAAAATCGAAATTGCAAAAACTGTAAATAGCAGGAAATTAAACGCGTAACCTTAACTTGCATAAAAGTAAATGACAAGGAATTGAATGATAGGAACTTGAAGTTGATAAATGTAAATGGCATGAAAGTAGATTACCAGGGAAAGTAAAGAAAACGATAAAGACAATCAATGAAAATGAAAATCCAGAGCATTAGAAACTTCATGATGCGTCATTTTTCTGTAGATTGTTCACTTGCTCTTCTGTTATCTCTGCCAATTTCCCCCTTCTTCTTGAAGTTTCGTCCTATTTATAGAGCACCTTTCAAGTAACATCCTAAGAGCAGTTAACAAAAACTGTCACCACGATCCAACATGCACGTCCCTTAGTTCTACGGTTTAGAAAACTGCATTTCACGTTCCCATGCATGAGATAACCGCTCCCTTGATCTTCAATCTCAGCCACGGTTTAGAAACCGCTTCCCATGTTCTATGTGCGCATTAACCGTTCCCTCGATCTCAATTTCAGACATCGAGTACTTTGAATTGCTTCTGATTCCCTTTAATCTTAACATTACACTAGATTCTAATTTCTCGATTCTCTTCAACAATAGACATCGAATATTCTTCCTTCGATTCTCGATTCTGATTCTCGATTTATATGTGTTTTTATCTTGTGGTTACCAGGTGTCTTCTGCCTGTCTCTTATCAATTTTTTAACCAACCATATGATCTTCGATATTCTCTTTCTTGTTTATCGATCCTGGTATCGATTTTTATTTTACTAACAAATGCCCCCCTGGAAGAATATAAGTATTTGTAATTTTTTATATTCTTCCAGAATATGACTCCCGCCCTTAATCGTTCTTGAAACTCGAAATAACTCCTTAGGGTTTAGGGTTTCCGGGGTTTTACGGTTTCTGTCTATTTTATATCACCTATCACATCACCTTTGCTGCCACGCTTTTAATTACCCGCTTTAAATTCACCGTTTCAAATACCCTACTCGGCTTCTTTAAATACTTTTATCAATTTTTTACCTTTGTTTTTTACCACGAACCTCATCCTTCGTTGCACTTCCTCATCTTCAACCTTTCGTCTTCCTCTTCTCTACCGACTGTAATGGCGACCTCCAAATCCTCTGATTTCTCCGCCCCACCACTTTCCTCGGTGACCTCCAACCTAATAGAGATTAATGGGAAGAAGTTTGCTCCGGTTCCTTTGATGGAAGAAGCCTCACAAAGGATTGCCGAGACCCAGGTACTTATCCCTTACGTCGCTGATAGTGTAAATTATGCGTTTGGTGGTCCTATCCGCTACTGTGGCGGATCGTTTCCTTCTTCCCTCAGCCTTTCTTCAGAGAGTAAGGCTCTTATTCATCAGTCCGAGGTTCAAATTGATTTTCTGAATATTTCTCCAAAGTATATCGAACATGCCCTCCCCACAAAAAACCCTTGTACATTAGGTGGTTTGATCGAGTTAAAACTAAGTTTGGGAACCATTGGAGAGATGTAGGGATCTTCGATTTCCTACATTTGTCTCGATGTGATCTGTCGTTTTTAGATATGACCATGTTTTTATCTGCCGTCCATCTGTGGAATAAGGATTTACATGCATTGGAACTTCCTTGTGGTCCCCTTTCACCCACCCTTTTTGAAATTGCTACAATTACTGGATTAAAGCCCACAGGGGAGAAATACTATAAGGGTGCTTTCCCTTTGGATAATTCTTTAAGGTCAAAAATCGATTGGGAATCGAAGGCATATGGACATTTTCTCGAAAAACATTTTGTCGACGATCAAACAGTAGCTGTTTCTGATGAAGAGCATGTGACCTTCCTGGTATATTGGCTTTGCACCCACGTCTTTTGCCCTCGATCCATCCAGATCTCGTCCCACCTTTATAATCTTGCCTATCTCCTCCACACTGGCCAATCACGGATTTGTTTAGCAAAGTTGTTATTGACCCATGTTTATACTTCTTTTGATGAAGCTGTCGATATTTTGAATACCCCCAGGGCCTCAGGGAATTTTTTAGGTCCCATTTGGTTCATTCAATTATGGCTTACCTCAATTTTTGAAAGTATCCTCCCTCCAACCTACAACATTCCCCCAAATTTAAATTTGGAAGGTGCTCGATTGTCCTCTCGACACCCTCACCACAAATCCGACGAGACTAGTTATCGCAATTACCTAAGATTTTTGTTGACTCGATTTCATTTTGAGTCAAACTTGGCCCCTTTCACCGTATATCAAGGGAAAGTAAGTGACAAGCTTCGAGGGCCGACATGGTTTAAGTCAAAATTCCCTGCTCTTATTCCCGGGTTAATATCAGAATTGGTCGAAGTGTGGAGCAATTACCTAACCCAAGATGTTTTGGTATCGGGTTTTCAATCGAAGGATCTTCAACTCGTTACTTATTATCCCCAGCTCTTCTCGCGGCAGTTTGGTTTGAGTCAAGCTTTACCCTTTTTCCCCCTCGATACCTCCTCAAGGTCCAAATTAAGTGAACCAACTGTTGGACGGGAGCTTGCCAAACTGTTGCAAAAAAACCCAATGCATTTTTACCCTTATACTTTTGAATCGAACTATTTATCCACTCTTGGTTTTTCTCAGTGGTGGACCGATTGGTTTTCAAATATTCATTCTAATTTTGACATAGTCCAATCAAAATTGACTGCTCGTCCTTCTCTCGTGTTGTAGGACAAATCGAAGGCGAAGAAAGGTACATACTCTCACTATTTCCAAATATCTCGATTAGAAATTTTTTATCGAGCATGCTACAACCCCTTGAAATTAGAAGAGACCTTTTATGATGTTGTTATTTTCCTAGTCAATAAAACAGACACTAACCGATCAAACCACAAAATAATCAATCCTCGAGGCAAAACCCCATTTGAAATGTATTGTCCCAACCATCTTCCCACTTTCCCTTCAGCTCCTTTTGGACTCGCCAAACCTTTAACTCATCCTAAATGGGTTCGAGAGTTAAGATCCTTGAAAGAAACTCTTTCTCCCAAACCCAAGAATAAAGAAATTTCAATATCGAAACCGTCCTATTTCCCTTACCTGAACCTTCCTCAAAATCTTCTTCCTCCCTGGCTCGTCCATATCGACCGAGTCAAGATTTTAACTCCATCACCCTTTGGTGAGATTTTACTGCCTCTTTTAGGAGTATTTTTAATTTTCTTCACATTGCAAGTTAACTGTTTTTCTTTTTTTGATAGTTTCGAAACCTCATAAAACCGTCGCCTCCGAGAAAGACTGGGAGTCTTCGGACGAGTCGGATCCATCGGCCCCCACTCAGAAGCGCAAGCATTCTGCCACCATTTCTTCATCTTCGAAAAAATCGAAGGTTTCTTTTCGATTCCTTATTGTCTTATTTATTCAACTTTCTTTGTCTATAGCTGATTCACTTCTAATTTCAGAAACAAAAATCAAAGAAGAGTCCTCGATCCATTCAACCACCTGCTATAAATCCGTTATCGACGGACTCTAACACGGTCAGCAAAGCGGGCCAAACAACACCCACCACTCGTTCAAGTCACGTAAGACCCCTTTTTACGCAAATTTTATATACCTAGATTTTGACAAGGCCCATAACATGATTCCAAATCTCGATATTTTCAGGACCATCCATCAGCGACAATATCGACGAATGTCGATTCTTTACTTCAATCATCAACGCCTATTCTTGAGGTACAACTCTTAACTTTTATATGTATATTTTTATTCAACTTTTTTCACACATTTCCTTTTCTAATCTTTGTTTTGATTCACAACAACCCGAGGCTGTACAACATTCCTCTCCTGCACCAACGTCCCTCGATCCACTTTCCCCTGGTGCTAATTTCTTCCTTTACTGCTTAATTCTACTTCATTCTTTATTAAGATTTTTCGATTCACCCCCTTGAATCATTTTCTCTCCAGTAAATATCCCCATAATCCAAGTTCAAG